CACTGAACAGCATCGCACATTTAAGTCTACATATAAACTCTCATACCTATACATACACTGAACAGCATCCCACATTGAAGTCTACATATAAACTCTTATACCTATACACACATTAAACAGCATCCCACATTTAAGTCTACATATAAACTCTCATACCTATACACACATTAAACAGCATCCCACATTTAAGTCTACATATAAGCTCTCCAACATATACACACAGAAAACAATGACCAACATCTGAATTCTACACTTTAACTCTCACACCTACACATATGCATAAAAACATTAACTTTCACAAAACAAAAACTAACATTTGTATTCTAAAGATCAACTTACACATATATACAAACAAAACATCCAACATTTGAATTCTTTAAACAGATGTCCTGGATTTTGTTTTAATTATTCCTTTAAAACAAACAATTGCTAATCACAACCAGAACAAACTGGAATCAAATGTTAGGTCGACACACGTGTATCCTACTCACACCCAAAACACAAGCTTCATGCATCAGCTATCACCTCAGGTCCTTGAACCTGGACATCATAGAACCTAGACAACCCCCCCACCGCAAAAATCTGCAAGGAAGCTAACTGGCCCCTGTAAAATTGTATAGATGTTCTCCTTTTTTATATCTGCTTATACATCTCATATTTTTTTTTAAATATATTATTATATTTATCTGTCATATAGCACATCATAAGCATTACTATTAATGTGCACATAAACAAGGTTTAACCCCATTGCAATGAGAGAGTTGGTTTTCCTACTTTTACATGTTTTGTTATGATATGACATCTCTGAGCAGCGACCAACATGCCTATACGACAGCTTTAGCAGTGGCTGCAACTGCAAAGTGTGCAGATGTGGTCTGACGATTATATTAACCCCATTTTTTTGGTTTTAAATTGCAAGAGATATTAATTGGAGTGAAAAAAGCGTTTTGGTTTTTTTTTGAATTAAAATTTAACGAAGCATTTCTTTTCAACAAAATTCTGAGAAAGCATTTTTTTTTTAAAGATTTTACAGAGCGAAAGGGCTGAGTCCAACCTCTTAGAGGGTGGTAAGACTGGGTTTCCCAGTTTTCTGATACAGTTAACGACATTAAAACATATAGAACCCACCCTTGCAGTCAGGAGTGCTGACACAAATAAAATATTAGTGGGGGTTCGCCTCCTTAGAAAATTATAAGGCAGCTTAGCCCCACTAATCTTTTATGGTGTTAGTGCCCCTGGCTAAATCACTACAAGCTACAGATTTATTTTTTTTTCCTTAGTGAAAAAAAATGGAAAAGGGGGTGTCAAAACAGACAACACATAGCTAAAATAATTTAAACAAATCTTTTAAATGTAAACATACAACAATGAACATGGAATATTTGAAAGATCAGTTCTCTGAAAATTGAACAGATACATCCTGTAACCGTGGTCAGTTCTAAACAAGTGTAGGGCATGGGCCAGCTATCTTCCGAATAACGGTCCCAAATTATCGAGGCAAAAAATAAACCCTAACAGGGCCTCAGTCACGTGTCAATTGCGCACTTCCGGGGATTATACCACCACCACCGAGAGTATCCCCCACACCTCATGGCTGGTACTCACGAGAAAATAAACTCAAGGCAGCTGCAGGAAATGCAGTAGCTGCTGCTCGTGAGTCCCAGCCATCTAGTTTAGCCTTAATACACGCCATGTGAGCGGCGTGGGGGATACTCTCGGCGGTGGCGAAAGTGTGCAATTTAAGTCGCCGGAAGTGCGCAATGAGGCCCTGTTAGGGTATATTTTCTGCCTCGATAATTTGGAACCGTTATTCAGAAGATAGCCCATGGACCAATCAAATACAATCATCACTCAGCAGGTCTTTTTTACAGCACGCCTGCAAGTCTGTCTTTCCCTTGCCCCATCTCTAGCCCTGTGTGCTTTCATAGCAAACGCATCTTCGATATCTTGTATCCACATTTATGGAGGTCAGCCTTTGCCTCATTTCCCAGAAACAGTGCCCTCCTTCAACGTTCTCTCCAGGCCACCAAAGACGTTAAATATTGGAAAATTACCTCAGTTTTTGGGACAGGATTCTGTTTATCAGCCAATTTTCTCTGATGCTCACATCATGTAGCAAGTCATATTTTTCTTCTTTTTGGCCTATGGCATTCTAAGACTTGTTCTATAGCATTTCAGTTTGAAAGCTCCATTTTCTTAATGATTCAGTAAGAGTCCATGACTCACTTGCATAAGCTGCCATGACAAAGATGCATGAACTCACACTGTTTACTTCAACTCCCTTGCAGGTGCTGTGCCATAAGTTCTTCATGCTATCATTTACAATATTAAACCTTACAAGTTTGGAGAGAATAGTGCTGGAGTTTATCGTTTATGGAAGAAGAGGCAGAGGTTGGTCTGCCCAATGGTGGATATCAAGGACAAAAGCTAAGGAGGCAAGATGGTTGGAAAAAATGTCTGGCTCTGAACTCATTATGAAATAAATATTCCACATCTACACCCCTTTTAAGAGAAGAACAGGCACTAAACAACACTGCAAGTACTTCTAAAAAGCCACAGTAAAGGAGGACAGAGGTTAGACCTTTTTACCCTCCAGTGTAAAACAGGACGGTCTCAATAGCACTGAAACATGCCTCCAAGGATAGATAATGAAACGAAGATTAAAATATCTCTACATTCAAAAGCAGATGATGAACTGAGTATTCTTCTTGTTAACATTCACTGGCTCTATACTCTGGCAGAAAGGTTACTGTTGTGTGTACACTTCTGGAATTTTTTAGAGCTTTGTGTCCATATCCATTTACAGGTCTGGCTATTATGCAGACTGCTGGTTCCTTGGTTCTAGATGTAAGCCGACTTTAAAGGAAACACTGTTAACTAATCAACACTTATAAGATGTTGAGGGGGAGAGGGAAACAGTGTCTATCCTCACCCCCCCCCCCCCCCACCCACCACTGGGGTAGCAGAACCCAAATGGGAAACCGAAGATTTACACACAAAAGACACTAGAAAATTAACTGAGGATTAACAAATATCTCTGTATTCAAAGATATGTTACATAATCAGCATAAGATTAAATTAAAACATATAGATGCCAGGGTTTAACTCTGGTTCTTTCGTAATATTTTACCCCTGATGATGTCACAGGACAGTCCAACCTTTTAGAGGGTGGTAAGGCTGGCTTTCCCGGCTTTCTGATGCTGTTAACGACATTAAAACATCTAGAACTGGCTCTTCTAACCACAACCCACCTACGTCCCACGAGAGAGGAGAGAGTGCAGCCTACATCCCACGACTGCATGCAGCCTAGGTCCCACGACTGCATGCAGCCTATCTACCCCCCCCCCTTGAAATATTACACTGTCCCATGACCTGTGGATTTTCCGTTTGGGGTAGTATATTAAGAAAGCACCAACTCTTTCAGTCCAAGTGAATTTTTTTTAATTCAGCAGTGTCTATGCTATAAATTTGTATCTTAGAGCAACTATTTTTTTTTTAGTCTCATGGAACTGAAAAATAGAACTTTGGGACAGAATTCCTTATAACAGCAATGGAAATATAAGGGGGTAACATAACAAAGAATTGGAAATGAAAAATAAAGAAATGTTTACTAAGTAAGAGTAACTAATGGATATAAATTGAGTTTCCTGCTAGTGAAAACAGTTAAAAGATTCATATACCTCTAGGTCCTCTGGTAAAAAATGAACTAAAGATTTAAATATCTCTAAACTGCAGGGTAGAGGATAAAGCAAAGATTAAAATACATCTACACTTCAGGGTAGAAACTGAACTAAAGATTATATACATCCATGGTAGAAGGTGAACTCATGATTAAAATAGTTCTTTGCCCTTAGATAACCTGAACATCAAAGCATCAGACTTTCAGAGCAACAAACTTTTAAAGGTTAAAATTCAATAGTCCAAAGTTTACGACCAACCAACCTCTTAAATTTCAGATACACAGGATTTCATCCTCTGTAACAAAAACAAAGAACTTAAATCCACCAGAAATTCAAATGTCAAAACTCTGACTGATGGGGCAACAGCTGGGGATAAACTACTGTCAAACCACTGAGCAGACATCAGCTATAACCCCCCCAAAAAGCCATCATGGTGGCATGTAAGGAAATCAACAGAAGCCCACGACTAAAAAAACACTTTCTAATTTCATCAGCTTTATGACTCAGCACACCAGATACAGATACTGTTAAACGTAACTATCTGCACACGTGTTTCCATGCAACTTAATTATTTTTTTTTGGTGGGGGGGGGAGAGAGAGGAGAGGTTACTATCAATGAGAGGCCCTTTGATTTATGAGAGCATCCTCTTTCTCCTGTACTTTTCTGCTAACACACACTCTTTCACTGAAGGACATTCCCATTCTTTCTCTCCTGTATTCTTTCATTCAAGAGGGACATTCACTTTCCTGCACTCTTTCATTCAAGAGGGACATTCCCACTCTCCTTCTCCTGTAACCTTTTATTCTGGATGGCACAAACTTCTATACTCTTCAAGTCAGGAGGACAACCTTAATGTGTACACTTTTTTATTCAGAAAGAAATATTCTTCAGTACATTTTTTATTCAGAAGGGCGCACTACCTCTTCTGCACTCAAGATGGAATCCTCACCATCTTTTGTTCTTACAAAAAGAGCTTCGCCCAATTCTTCCATGTTCTTCCAATAGGGAGGCACACCATACGCTCAAAATGAAAAACTATACACTGATTAGGCATCCTTTTACTCCTAGACTTCTTCCATTTAGGAAGAGAAAATATACAACCCAAAAACAATCTGAATAATATTCTTACTTCAATATCGTATCTCACGAATGAGACGCATAAAAATACAAAACATAAGAAATGGGACATTTGGAATGAGATACCTGTCTCTCAAATACATCTTGTGTACAACAGACAAGCACACCGACAGAAACACACACACAAATCACTCGGACGTTGGTACACACAGACAAGCACACTTCTGTTCTCAATCTCTCTATCACATCATGCCAGATGGCAGCTGAATGTTCAAATCTTTTGCTACTTTCACCTGTTTGAAAACGGAAACAAAAAAAAATGGTTTAAACCAAAACAGCGAAAAATAACTTGCATTTTTGTTTTAAATCTTGTCAATTTAGTTGTGATACAATTGTCAAAAAACACACAACCAATTCTCTTCTTCTACTTTCTCTATTTCTTTCTTCTTCATCTACCTCCTAGATCAGCTGCTAACTAAGGCTAAATCTTGGTCAGTCGTGCTAAAATATTAGGTTTAAATACAGCATATCAACTCTCTCTTTCTTTTTATTTGTTTTGTTGTAAATTTTTTGTGTGCTCAGCTTTGCACACCTGGACAACAGATCCATAGTTCCAGAATGCTTAGGTTTCCACAAGTGGCAGTCACTCATGCTACAGACACCCCATCAAATTTTCCTTACATTAAAAAAAATATACACTACTCAACTCAGCCGTTCCAGACCTTTCTAGATTCAGGATGGTGGCTGTATTCATTCATTCAGTAGCATGTCCCTCGCGGAACCTCACTGCCATAACAACCCTCCGGAAAACCTTCCTATCATGAGCAAGATGTCCTGCGTCTGATACACCCATCTGGAGATCATCTGCCACATCCTGCACCCATCTTCTCCTTGGCCTTCCTCTTCCTCTCTTCCCAGGCATATACCCCTCCATTATTGTTCTCTCTAGACTTCCATGACGTTTCAAGTGACCAAAATATTTCAATTTTCTTTGTTTTATTGTCTTTACTAGCCAACCCTCTTCAATATTCAGCTCTTGAAGTATGGATGCATTTGTTCTTTTCTTTACCCAAGATATTCTTAGAACCTGTCTGTAACATTTATATTCAAATGCATTTATGCGCTTTTCCGCTTGTTTAGTAAGTGTCCAGGTCTCACAGGCGTATGTTGCAATGGGAAAGATGCATGCTCTTAAAAATCTGACCTTTGTAATTCTATCTGTACAATTCCATAATTTATTCAGTTTTTTTAGTCTTTGAAGAGCAATTGATAGTCGCCGTTTAATTTCTTTCATTGTGTCACCATTGTTGGTAACCAGTGACCCAAGATATTCGAAATTTTCCACCACTTCCAATCTTTCCTCATTAACATATATTTCCTTCTCCATGGCAGTTTTGTTTGTATGCATTATCTTTGTTTTTGCTATGTTAAGAAAATGGTTATGATTTTCACTATTTCTTTGGAGTGAGGTTGATAAGTTTTCTAAACCATTTTGTGATGTTGATAGTAATACTGTATCATCAGCATAACGAATTTCTGGTATTTCATGACCACCGATGTTTAGGGCATCATATTGTTCCTTGTTTATCTCATCTCTTACATTTCTCATTATATTTTCGGCGTACAGGTTGAACAAATACGGTGACAGCACACATCCCTGACGGACTCCTGTGGCTGTATTAAGTACCACATATTTTAATTCATTCCTTTTGCTTATTTTTTGGTTGCACATGTTTATGTAACACTTTAATAGCTTAATGTAGTTATTTTAGTATCATTTCTCTCTTTTTATTCTGATGATTCTTTTTGTTTGCTGATAAATGTTTGCCTCCGCAATGTCCTTTGTTTTTAGTAACTGTGCAAACTGACCTGTCCTTGTTTCTTAGATGATATCACATTTTCACAGCTTTTTAACCCCTTTCACAGCTTTACAGCATCTCAATCCATTTCACAGCTTTACAGCATCTCAATCCATTTCACAGCTTTACAGCATCTCAATCCATTTCACAGCTTTACAGCATCTCAATCCATTTCACAGCTTTACACCATCTCAATCCATTTCACAGCTTTACAGCAATTCAACACAATTTACAGCAGCTCAACCCATTTTACAGCTTCATAACAATTTAACCTATTTTACAGCCTTACAACAGCTCACCCCATTTCACGCATATTAGTTCAACAAAGAATGTTACTCAACTCTTAACTACCCCACCCTTAGTTCTGTAATGAACTGCAATGTTAGACTGAACAAGGTCTAGCCCTGAATTCTTCAAGATTGCTTCAGTCTACACAAACACACCAATCTGAATGAAAAATGAAATCTGGTTAAAGTAAAAGGATTGATTCACTGAACTGGTCTCTGTCAACAAAATGCCTAGCCACCTGCTGAGAGCAGAAAGCATGAACCCTGTAGCTCTAGTGACAATCCCAAAAGATCATAAAGAATGCCAGTGAAAAGAACCCACGACCTCCAGAGCATGAGGCAAATGATCACTTTGTCCCTAAAATTGCCTGTATTAACCACTTTTGTGGTCCAAGGAGGTAGTCTAGAAGCCTGAGGATTTGGGGCCGCATGGGTAGTGCTGTTGCCATGGACTGTGCAGGTTAGGATTTTATTTTTGGTCCTAACAAAAACAAATCTCCAACCTCATGGTTGATTCAAACCTGGGTTTCCCACATGAAAGCCCTGCGTTCTTTACCGTTCAGCTAGAAGCTCCTCTAACTTTGCCATAGATCACCTTCTTCTTCTTCACTTCCTCTTTTACGGCTGTGGGTGTCGAGGGAGATATAAGGTTCTGTTTCTAGCTCTTCTGGCTGCCTCGACCATAGGCACATCGTGCTGTTGTAGAGTTTCTCTGATGTTATCCTTCCATCTTGTTCTTGGTCTACCCCGTGCTCTACGTCCTTCTTCTCTTTCCATGTATGCTTTGTATGGTATGGTGTCACATCATCTCTACCCCCAAAACCCAAAGAGAAATGTGATTTCTTTACCTGCACTTCTGCAGCTTCCATGAGAGAAAACAAATGTGCCATCTCACTTTCTGAGTTGGACAAAGCTATGGCCTTCTTGAAGTTATTTACAGCTTCAGAGAGGTTACCCCTGGACAAATGGAAGAAGATACAAATGAATAATTGTGGCCTTGGAAACCTCTCATGCATAAGATAGGAAAAGTAGTGATGATTGTGTAGGCATTATATATCTGTGTTAAAAGTGGACTGAACAGCTGTGGACGAGTACTGAAATGATGAGGAAACAGTGACGCGGTTTAAAATTGTCTTTAGAATAGTGTTGAAAAATCCACGGACAAAGCAGAAAAGATATGGACAGTCTAGTACAGTCTGTGTTTCTGATATACTCTCTGTTTGTCATATATTTCTTATATAAATCTATGTTTATAGTATAGCCTGTGTTTGCTATATATATATAATAACCTAAGTTTGCGTTCGGGTATAGTTTGTTTGTTATATATTTGTTATATATGTGTTTCTGTTTCTAGTATAGTCTGCTATATATTTTTTTTAATATGTGTGTGTTTCTTGTACAGTCTGTGTTTGTTATATATTTGTTATATATGTGTGTGTGTTTTTAGTATTGCCTGTGATTGCTATACATGTTTCTTTTCTTTGTGTTTCTGATATATTCTGTGTTTGTTATTTATATTTTGTATCCAAGTTTGTGTTTCTGGTATAGTAGTCTGTGTTTGCTATACATATTTCTTATCTAATTTTGTGTTTCTGGTATACTAGTCTGTGTTTATGGTACAGTCTGTGTTTGCTATACATATTTCTTATCTAATTTTGTGTTTCTGGTATAGTCTGAGTTTGCTATACATATTCCTTATCTAATTTTGTGTTTCTGGTATACTAGTCTGTGTTTATGGTACAGTCTGTGTTTGCTATACATATTCCTTATCTAATTTTGTGTTTCTGGTATAATCTGGGTTTGCTATACATATTTCTTATCTAATTTTGTGTTTCTGGTATAGTCTGGGTTTCTGTTACAGTCTGTGTTTGCTATACATATTTCTTATCTAATTTTGTGTTTCTGGTATAGTCTGGGTTTCTGTTACAGTCTGTTTTTTTGGTATAATCTATATTTGGTATATATTTCCTATATTTGTCTGTGTTATATATGCCAGATAATTTTTATATTTCTTATATATTTATTTATTTTTTATCTAAATTTGTTTTTCTGGTATAGGTCTGTGTATATTTCTTATATTTGTCTGTGCTTCTAAAATACTAGTCTGTGAATTCTGGTACAGTCTGTGTTTTTGGTATACTAGTCTGTGAATTCTGGTACTGTGTTTCTGCATCAGTTAATTCTGGTATAGTCTGTGTTTCTGGTATAGTCTACATTTGTTATACATTTCCTTTATTTGCCTGTGTTTGCTACATATGCTAAACATTTCTTATCTAAATATTTCTTATATATTTATTTATTTCTTATCTAAATTTGTGTTTCTGGTATAGTCTGTGTTTGTTATATTTTTCTTATATTTGTCTGTGCTTCTGGTATACTAGTCTGTGAATTCTGATATAGTCTGTGTTTCAACATATACTAGTTTGTGAATTCTAGTACAGTCTGCATATCTAGTATACTTGTTTGTAAATTCTGGTATCAGCCAGCGTCTGAGCAGTATTGAAACCAAAGAATAATCATAGCACGTGACTGCTGTCAAGTTCACACAGATTAATGTGTATATGTTTAATTCTGTCAATAAGTAAACAACCCTATTGACTCCAGTGAGTAATGGGGCATAACATATAGGTTCATATTTATACAGACCAAACAGCACTCAGTAAATGATGGGGTCAACATAAAAGCCAAGGTTAGCTTGAGAAACTCAGCATACATTCGAACCAAGGAACTTCAGGCCAGCAGATGTGGTTTAACTGTTGTCTAAAGTTCTAGTTTAACACAACCAATGCTTCAGCTTGATGCAGTGATAATATGAGAAAGGAAAAGTCAGACTAGAAATTCAGATATCTTCATCATTTTTATCGCTCATGTGAGTGCCATTAATTGTGTAGTGCCTGTTCATAGATTGCATAACTGTTATACTTACACCTTTAGATCCACACATCTGACTTCATCTGCTATTTGTTCTCAAAGTTCACATTTCAGACAAAATGAGTTAATATCACAATTGTCTGTGACAGAAAGGTGTCAGGAATGTTTACTCTCTATGGACTAAACAAAGAAGGTACAGTGAGTTGCACAGTACGGTCAGAACTAAAGTATTATGTTTATATGATACTGTTTATATTATATTTACATGGGGGTATTTATATATTGTTAATATGATAGTATTTAAAAGGGTTTATATAAAGATAGTATTGTTGTCTATGTGATGATGTTTATTATGATGTCCGAAGCAGGGGTGATAACCAATTTTGAACCCACCTCTGAACTTCGATGGTTCCTCGGATCTCGTACGCATACTGGCAAGTGGGGTCAATCTTTAGGGCCTCCTCCAGCAGCTCCAGCGTCTTCTCCACATTACCCTTCCACTGCAGCAACATCAACCTGCAATCACAAGATGTCTTGTACCAGTGTCTTCAACCAGCATCAAGTCACAACACAACCAAGTTTTGTACCAGTGTCTTCAACCAGCAACAAGTCACAACACAACCAAGTCTTGTACCAGTGTCTTCAACCAGCAACAAGTCACAACACAACCAAGTCTTGTACCAGTGTCTTCAACCAGCAACAAGTCACAACACAACCAAGTCTTGTACCAGTGTCTTCAACCAGCAACAAGTCACAACACAATCAAGTTTTGTACCAGTGTCTTCAACCAGCATCAAGTCACAACACAACCAAGTTGTGTACCAGTGTCTTCAACCAGCAACAAGTCACAACACAACCAAGTTGTGTACCAGTGTCTTCAACCAGCAACAAGTCACAACACAATCAAGTTTTGTACCAGTGTCTTCAACCATCTCAAGTCACAAAACAACATCTTGTGCCAGTGTCTTGAACCATCGTTATGTCACAACACAACATCTTGCACTAGTTTTCAGCCATAAAAAGTCACAACACATCTTGTACCTTGCATCTTCAACCATCAACAAGTCACAACACAACCACTTCTTGTACCAATGTTTTCAACCCACATCAAGTCACAACACAACCACATCTTGTACCAGTGTCTTCAATTATTATCTTGTCACAACATAATCACATCTTATACCAGTGTCTTGAGCCATCATCACGTCACAACATAATCACATCTTGTACTACTCTTCAACCAGCATCCACCCACAATACAATCACATCTTGTACTAGTGACTCCAACTATCATTAAGCCACTAATGTTACTGCACAAGTCTCTGTCATGTAAACCGCGAAGCAAGATCCTGCATTAGCCAGCTATAATCTTGGCACTTATATGAGCATTCCTCAGAAAGCAATCAGGTGATGGTTAACTTCCAGAAAACTGTCTCACGTAAAAAGAGAACAAGGAAAAGGAAGAGAAGACATATAATACAGATGGGTTTTCTTCTTCTTCTGAAAAGGGCCTGACATGCTGTCTAGTGGATGGATTACAGCTAGAGAAAGGTGGATTTAAAACCTAAACCTACCCTCTATGAACAATATTGTTGGCATTTCTTGGTTGAACATCCTGAGCTTTCTTGAAAAAATTCTCTGCTTCTTCAAATAAGCCCTGGTCACTCAATGCCTGCAAGAGAGAGAATAAGTCAATCAAGAAAAACAATGCCCAACTGGTAACTTTACAACAACACAAGTTACAAGTTCTTCTTTTTCTGTGTTTGCTCTTTAAAAGGCAGCCGGCATGTTATGTTGTGGCTTACAACAAGGCTGCAATATCTGCGCCTTTCTGCCCATAAATATTTGATCTCAGCGAACACCTAATTAGTCACATTTTAAGAAATACTTGTTGGTGGAGGGGAGGGGTGGCATAGTGTTTATCATTCAACCCCGACCTTCAGGAGGTGGGGGGGGGGGGGCAGTCACAAGCAGAGAACAGATATTGTAGCTAGAAAGCTTTTCAATAATCAAAATCACCATCACAAACATCAGATTAAACATTTCAACCTCACCAATGAAAAGATTTTGAGTGGTTGGTACCCTTCATCAAATCACCACTGATCACTGGCATCATAAGAGCTAATAGAATGAAATGGTTGGGGCATATTAAAAGAATGTCCAGAGAGGCAAAAAATATACACAAGGGAGTTAAATGGTCGTAGCATCAGGCAGACCAAGAAGACAACAGAGAGATAATGTCCAGACAGACCAGCAAATACCTGGTATCACCAAATGGAAAGAGAAGGCCAACCAGAGAGGTGAGTGGAGGTGGGTGATATCTGCAGCAATAAATCTCAAGGGCTCGAAATTATGAAGAAGAAAAAGCTATCTTCCATCTTTCCAGATGATAGTGTCTCACGGCACCATACAGAAGCATGGAAATAACAGCCAACAGCAGCAATGATGAGTGTGACTAGCAAGACCTGCTTTGGTTAGGAAGAATCTTTCACAATGAGGCTACCAGATCCAGGATCTGCCAATGTTGCCATTACATGTTTCTTCTGATGCTCACCAGATCCAGGATCTGCCAATGTTGCCATTACATGTTTCTTCTGATGCTCACCAGATCCAGGATCTGCCAATGTTGCCATTACATGTTTCTTCTGATGCTCACCAGATCCAGGATCTGCCAATGTTGCCATTACATGTTTCTTCTGATGCTCACCAGATCCAGGATCTGCCAATGTTGCCATTACATGTTTCTTCTGATGCTCACCAGATCCAGGATCTGCCAATGTTGCCATTACATGTTTCTTCTGATGCTCAGCTCTTAATCTGTGTGCAATCTTGTTCTTCATTGCCACACAAAGAAATGTGTGTGTGTGCAATCTCCATAATGAAGTGTGGCTACACTGCACACACACTCCTGGCGTTGGCAGTAATTATGCAGCGAGATCCCAATCTCTTCCACGATTGTGCCACTGTCCAAAAACAATAAGAGCACATTCTTTAATAATCTGTCCAACACAGAAACTGAACAATAACACCTGATGACCATAACATTGTTCAACCATTTGTCACTACTCCCTTCTTAATTTGCCCTTCCATGCGATAAGATGCATGACATCATATGAAATTTGCAAGGTAGTGGATAAGAAACAAGTAGAAGAAGCAGATCACAATAGGACAAGTACAGCTTTGAGGACCAAATATTTATCCAGTTAAGTGGGCACCTTTGTGATGTTCTCTGCTTGTGGCAACTTATAGGGCCCCGAAACCCATACAGGTATGTCTAACACAATACAAATAGCAAATTATGAATCTCTTCAACATATCAATAATAAATTTGTTCAACAATTTATATACAACAAAAGATGAATGTGTCCAACATTCTACATACAACAAAAGAAATCAATTATGAATCTGTCCAACATTTTTCATGAGACTAGAGGAATGTAACTGTAAACTTGCATTATATAGCCCTACCTGAGCATACAGTATTAAGGCATCACTACAGTTAGGAAACTTGGTGATGGTCTGTTCAAAGCCTGCCTTGGCCTCCGTTAGAAGTTTCAGGTCCTCTTTCATGATGGCTTTCCTGTGAACTAACAGACATACATACTATAAGCATCAGCGTCATTATTTCAAGTTTATTTTGGAATATAAGGCAGAATCAGTGGCTCTTGAAATTGATTTGTATTCTAGTCTATACTTTATGAAGAAGTGACTGGATTCTAGGACCATTGCAGAGTATTTAAAACTATCCATCGATGCTCCAATCTTCATATTTAATACATGAGGAAGGCCATAAGTCCACTGCACAAATTAGGCAGTACTGTCCAGTACACATATATGTGTATAGCAAATACAATTGTAGATGGGTTTGCTGACACCTTGCCATCTTTCCAGACTAAAGTGTTACACTGAATTATAGAGAGGTATGGGAGTCAAACAATTGCTAGGGCCAGAATGACCCGCAAGACCCGCTCAGGTTAAGAAAAGTCCACATTTAGAGCATGGGATTCCAGGATCACTGTTGCCATTGTATGTACCTGAATGTCCTCCTTCTTAAATGCTCAGTTCTTAACCTACCTGCTATCATTTTCTACTTCATCCTTTTGCCCTTGCTGATTCCCCCCCCCCCTTCTATTGCTGCCTGTTCTCCTGAATGCACCTCAATACCTTTATTGTTCCTATCTCACAGAGCCCAAACTTGACATCCTCTACCCATATGTATTTCACCACAGAGGATATCCTTAGAGACTCTACCATCCTCCACCCTCAGAGTGTGTCCCAGCCATCTGAGCCCATGAAGACTGAGCATTGAGAAAACTGCTGCAATATCTACCAATACCTATGTTTGCGACCTTGTCTTGCCACTTAATGCCAAGTAATCTTCATAGACAATGCATGTAAAAGCTAGTTCGCGTACTGGATCTAATCACACTGACACCCAAGTTGGTCTCCTAAACTATGAATATATTTGGACACACATTTACGAAAAGCCTGCCTGATCAACTCACAGAGCTCACACTTTCTTTTTCTTCTGCATTCACCCGTAACAGGGCGGTCTGCACAAAGTGCTGTGGTTTACAGACAGGTAGTGATATTGACATCATATGGCCTAACACATCCAATTTTAGTAAATCTTCTTCATGTCATCCACAGATTTTTTCACTTCACCCTCTAGTTTCCTTCTCCAGTGCTTTGTGTCCTGCCTTTATTCCTTAGACCCAGTTGGTTCCAGTGTAAATACCTTCTAGTTACACTGTTCTCAAGTCTTCTCAACATGCGTCCCACTTGGCAGCATCTTTCTTCTCACCTACTGATTCACTGGAAATTGTTTAGTTCTTTTCCAAAGCTCCATATCAGTGATTCTATCATATCATGTAGTTCCCTCTATTCTGTGTAGGCATCGGTTAATTAACCCTCTGGAGACGGAGCCTTTTTGAAGTTTCAGTGCCAAAAAGATGACGCCTTCAGGGAGGGTGGTGATTCTCATAGCAGATACACAACAAATATAAAATATAAAGCGTTTAATTAACATATATAAAACTATACATATCCGTGTAGAAAAATGAATCAGCTAATAGAATATGTATGAATCAAACTGAAATCTCAACATTTATTTAAATTAACTATTTTGATTTGCAATTTATGCAAGTATTTTTTTTTAAAACTTGGAATCAAACATGACTAACCTAAAATATTTTGGTGCATTTTTTTTGATAGATGAAGCTTGAATAAGTCCTAACACTTGTGTTTTGGGAAGAAAGGCCCTTGGAGGCCTCTCAGACACTTTTGGTACATTGTTCTACTCATTTTTCCTGCCCCCAGCTATGTTTCAGTCACTATAAGGCAAGTCCTTTTCGCCACTGTTGGGCACAAGTGACCCCAGAAACATAAAATTACCGAACACATTAAACTTTCTCGAAAGCCGTCAATCAGGGTTCATAGCCAAATTTACCAATCAATTTCAAGGCTTTTCAAGGTCTTTTTCAAGGTCTCCTTAGATTTTTTCAAGGTTGTCTCGGTGTAATACTGAAACAAAATTTTTGCCTTGTTCAAGGGTGTACTGAGCACACAATGTACTTCATTTGTGCCACATGTGTTGGTATACCAGCACATATATCATCATCATGTAGCATTTCCTTTGTCCTGACAAAAAAACCTCGGTCTCTCACCAGCTCTCCCGTCTCATGTACTTTTTTATACTCAAGGAGTCACTTATATCCTGTGCCCATCTTCGTGTTGGTCGGCCCCTGAGCTTGATATAGTGTTTGAATTTTTTTTTTAGGGCTTGGTGGTAGAGGGCAGCAAACTGAAGTCCTGTCTGTTCTGGACCTGGTACCTGAAAGGGTTAGGGGGAGAGAGAGAGAGTCATGCAGAGAGGGAGGAAGACACATGCTGAGGTAGGCTTGGAGAGACAGTGTAAAGATGAACAGATGAAGGTAGAGAAAAGAAGGAAAAGAAGTCTGGGGAAGGAGGAAAAATGAGAGGGAGGGATAGAGACATGATGAGGAAAAGTGGGGAAGGGACAGCGAAAGACAGAGAGGGAGACAATTACAGAAAGAGGGAATGCAGATACAGAGATGGGCAGATGAAAAGAGAAGGAAAAGGGGAACGAAACAGAGATACGGAAGGAGGAAAATATGACAAAGAGTTGAAAGAAGGGAGACAGAAGGAGAGAGAACGGACAGGGAGAGAAGCAGATGCAAGCAGAGAGAGATGTAGACATAAAGGAGAGAGAGACAAAGGGACAGCACAGAGAGGCAAGCAGACAGAGGGAGAGAACCAAAGAAAGAGAAAAAAGGCAGAGCAGGAGAATGGGAGGGAGGTATACAAAGAGGAAGTGATAAAGGGAGGCAAACAGACATAAAGAAAGAGAGAGAGAGAGAGGTGGGTAAGGAAGGCAGGACAAACACAGATTAAGAGAGAGGGGCAGGAAGGGAGACAAGATACATCAAAGAAAGAAAAAAAACAGCCCCGTGCTGAAACCCCACCTACTCCCCCCACACAATTTCAAGTGTAGTGGACACAACCACTAGAAAAAGATAGTTATGGGGCAAAAAAATATGTAGATGAACCAGAAAAAAAAATGGGGATGGGTGGGGGGGGGGAATGAGAGAGGGGAGCGAGTAAGGAAATCTAGATAAAATGAAAAGACAGGATGGAGAGGAGACAAAGAAGAGATGAGACAGGAGAAAGGGCAAGGAAAGGAAGAGAGGAAGAATGGAGAGAGAAAGGAGAATAGTAGAAGATCAAAGGAAAGAGAAGGGGTTAGAGAAGAGAGGTAAGACAGGGTTGTGGGGGGGGGGGGGGTGTAAGAACACTGAGTGCCAAAAATAGAAATCTCTAAGTGAGGCCACTTTTCCGGTTCCTACCCTCTCCCAATGTGAATGTGGCCCATAAACAACAGTGCTAACCCCTACTGCCCCATGCTTGTCCTATCTGTGTGTGACAATAATAATTCAATTTCTTACACTTAAGGCTGGTGACCTGAGAGCCAAGGTCATTTTATGAAGAAAAAAAAAGTCCAGGGGATCCCAACCCACCACTGGTGGGAAAATAAAGAAGTTTACCCACACACATAAATAGGTCAGGGCAGCAGTGGACTTCGTTTTATTTATGGTTTTCCAATTACAGAAAGGAGGGGAGAGAGGAGGTGGTAGAAAGTGGTGTAGAAGGCTGAGGTGGTAAGTCTGAGAGGGAGAGTAGGGGAGGGGAGTAAGGGAGAGTGGCAAATACAAAGAGAAAGTGAGAGAGGAAAGCAGTGACACAGACAGGCAGAGAGTGAGGAACAGGTAGGACAAAATGTGAGGGGGGCGGGAAGGGAGATGGACAGAGATTAGGGCCCGCTAAGAAAACAAACACATCAAAAGACAATATCCACTATGTTCACGCTGAACGACACCCCCCCCCCCCCCCCCCCCACCATAACACAACTTCCTGCGTACTTGAGTTGCTAGGAAGAGTTATGGAGCCGCACATTTACTAAACATTTAAACAAGAAATAAAATAGGAAAAAAAGGGGGGGGGGGAATGAGAGAGTAAAAGGAAAGATAGAGAGAAAGAGAAGAAGATGAAGATCAGAAGGGAGGGTTAGAGACAATGCAGGAGACGGGAAGGAAGGAGCAATAGGTAGAAGAGTGAAAGAGGGAGGAAAGAGAGAGAGGTGAGACAACAGAAGAGGGAATCTCAGGGAATTACAATACTGATCGCCAAACACACTGTAAAGATAAATCCAGGCCAAAAATAGAACTGGGAAATCCAGCTGCAGTCACTTTGCTTAGCCCCAATGCCATCTCTAATTAATAGAGAAGGCCGTGCTTAGCCCCCACCACGGCGACTCTGTTTATAAATACAACTGAACCGAGCCCCACCATCTCCCAATGTAATCCTTTCTAGAAACCACGGCCATAAACGATTTATACTGTATACTGTTCATTCTGCCCGACTCGCTAGAAACAAAGGCACACACACACGCGCAAGACGGAAGCTGCTACTTCCCGCCCCATGCCACACCGCTGCTGTCTGCATGTATTCATGATCTGCAACACAGCCCGCCCTTTCCTGGCCTTTAACAAGCCATTTCGGCTGAAAATAGCCAATAATCAGCTGCCTTCACACCTGAAACAACCACACAACGAAAGTAGCCAAAAACTAGCCAAATGGCCAAAAAAGCCAAATGGCTCCCCAAAAATTGCCTGTGCTGAAAATCACAGGATTTCTGACGATTTCATTGCGGCGGTCAAAATTCACGGCTTTTCAAGGTCGGAATGTCTTTTATAAGCTAAAAATCACTGTTCAAGGTCAACAACAAAAAATCCCGGTAATTTCCCGGTCCACTACGAACCCTGGTCAATGAACCATCCACAAGTGCAATAAATGTGATTAGCTGGTACGAAAACCTGCTAACCAATCTCAGGGGCTTGTATTACATACGGCCGACTGATCGGCCCAGTAGTCCTTTTGGCTACTTTGTGTCGGACCGATATTTCAGCAGCGGCGTCTTTAAAGGGTTAATATTTGTAGTTTATTCGCAATTTTTTTAGTTGTCCTATATCTTCAGCTCCATACAAGAATGCTGATTTGATAAATTAGAGCTAAATGTTTCAAGTCTGGTACTAGTTTTAATTTCCACCGACTTTCACAGTTTACCTGCATAATACTTCTGTACGTAAGATGTTGGGAAGTCTGGGGACAGCTTGATGCTGCGGTCAAACTTGGAGATGGCTTCATCAAGTTTCTCCAGTTGAAGCAGTTGCTGCAGCAGAAATACATAAAGTAAGTCATCAGTAAATCACTAGCTAAAGTCTGAACAGATTTTAGATACTCACGTCAACAATCAGATAATGATCACATAAAAAAACAAGTGTCACAAACAAAGATGATCACATCAATCAATAAGTGTCAAAAAGAAAAAATCTTATGAGTCAACATGTGTCTCAAACAAAGATGATCAAACTGAAAGCAAGAGTTACAGGATGATCAAATAAATCAACAAGTGCAACAATGATAATCACATCAATCGAGTGTAACAATGATGCTCACATCAATCAACAATGGTAACAGTGATGATCACATCAATCTACAAGTTTAATGATGATCACATCATTCAACAAATACGACAATGACAATCACATCAATCAACAAGTGTAACAGTGATGATCACATCAATAAGCAAGTGTAACAAGAATGATCACATCAATAAGCAAGTGTAACAAGGATGATCACATCAATCAACAAGTGTAACAGTGACAATCACATCGATCAACAAGTGTAACAGTCATGATCACATTGATCAATAAGTGTCACAATGATGATCACATCAATCAACAAGTGCAACAATGATGATCACATCAGTAAACTGTCAAAAAGATGTGCCAACCTGCCCATGATGATGGAACACATCAGAATTCTCTGGATCCAATGCTTCAGCCTTGACAAACGATGACAAAGAATCCTCCTGGGTCTCTTTCTGCATTCGTAGACAACCCTCACGGATCAATGCTGTTGCCTGTAGCTGCAATATGGGATTCAAACAAGTTTTGATTTTTTTGTTTTGTTACAACCAACAAAAGTAATATCATCAAAAAAAAAATTTTTTAAGATACTTAGTTGTTATACTTATGCTGTAAGTTGTTTCCAATTAGGTAATACCAGCCAGCATACCCGTATTAATTCTTCAGGTCTAACACAGAACCCATATTTTATGACAGATTTAGTGAAGTAATTAAAAGTAAAAAAGTAAAGGACCTTTTTCTCCGCCTTTAAGCGTATAGGGCTAGACTAATATTTTATAGACCAATCGGCACAAGATGGGTGATGAGGTCAGCATCACGTCAGCCACCTTAACTTCCCGGGACTGCACCCGGTACCCACTCAAGGCTGGGTCGACCTGGGAGCCGAGGTCATTAAAAAAAAAAAACTGCCTATTTAGTGAAGAGCTTGTCATAATTTATAAATATCAGAACAACAAAGAAGAGCATTCTAAGGTTGAGGATTTGGGTGGAAGGGTGGATGTGATACCACAGACTCCTTGCATTTATCTGTGTGTGTTCCCCACAAATTCTTGATGTATCAACAGAAGAAGAGAATAATCAAATCAATCAAAATGCCACTAAAACTGGCATTAAGATGATTACCATATTATGGGCAGATCAGAGCAAGTTATTATTCTAAGCCTTAGAACAATAGACTTTGCAGCTACATGTACACACAATTTAAATTTGGGGATCAGCCATGTGAACATGTAGACTGGCACTTGAGACAACAGATCACGTCCCAAAAATGACATTTCCAGGCAAAACTTCTGACCAAGAGAGACATTGGAGAAAGCCAAACGTTGCGGGCCACTAAGTGAATTACAAAAGACATTGAAGTTCATACTAGAGACAGCATTACAGATATAGATCATTTATTTTAAGTGAACGAAAGAAGAACAAGCAGTTGAGATGTGTTAATGGGATGTCAACCATACAGGTGCACCAGGACCAAGGCACACAAAAAGTTAGGACCTATCTGTCTCTGCGGTCATCCCAGAAACAGGTTCCCCAACGAGGGCCTGACAAACACAGATAACATTGATGTTTCCTTTGAAGTCAGAGGGTTAGGAACCAACAGTATGCTAATAAATAATCTAGATCTGTAAAGCAAATGTGCATAAAACACTCTAGTCATGGAGCAAAGACGAAAGTCAGGAAGTGGATGAACAACCAAGACTTTCTGCCAGAGCTTACAGCCAGTGAATGAGAAGAAGAACTTGAACTTGGGTCTTGATCATGACCTTCGGTTATGTGCACACATCCATTTTTCGAATGTGGCTTATCTGTTAGCAGACTGTTGGTTGCTTGCCTCTCAGGCAGATGCACTCCGACTTAGAAGGAAATATCCATAATCAGTTGCCTTGTATGACATGCTTGTTGGGGTTGTAGTAAATAATACTAAACACTGAAAGCGGTTTTTTACTGTAAAGAGTGGGTTGAGAATCATATTAATCTAGGTATGCAGGGTCGGCATCTGTGACATAGGCACTGAGAACGTACTTCATAATTCTGAGATACCAGGTTCGATCCCAAATGCAGGCAATTTTGTCCAGTTAATGTTAGTTTCAACAGTGTTATTATCAACAGCCAACCTTTCAGGAAGCAATGGCAAACTACTGAACACAAAATTTCCTAGTGAAATCAGATTCTGTTAAAAAGAATGATGAGGCTGGTTCTGCAACATCTGTAAAAGACAAGAAAACCATTTTTTTTGGGGGGGGGGGGGGGGGGGTTATCTAAAGGCATGTAGGAAGTAAACAAAGTATGGGGAATTACCAAAGAAAAAGTTACAAAAACTAAAAAAAAACCAGTGTCCTTAGTTAATTACTGCTGTCTTGTGGTACTCACAGTTTTATCCACTCCTTCCATGCCTGCCACACGGCTGAGATCCTCGAGGGCCTGGTCTCCCATGCCCTGGAGCAGCCTCATCGTCCCACGCAACAACAAGGTCTCTGGAACTCTGCTAGAAACAGCTTCATCGGCAAGCTCCTCCTCACACAGGTCAAGGATCTGCTCATAGTCCTGAGTCAGTAGACAGTTTTTAGCCTGCTCAAATGCACTGAGACACACAGAAAAGATGGTGATAATTCGCTGACAGAAAGTTCTTTGATCTGTATAGAGATGTGCCTGCATGCATGTGCGCGCTCACACACACACACAAGTATATTTGTAATAATTAAAAAAATAAAATATCTTCTTCTTCTTCACGTTCTCTGGTTGTAAACTCAAGCAGAAGGTTCTGGTTGTTTGTCCACTTTTGTCCCACGAGGGGAAAGATATGGAATGAAAGTTTAAATCATTCGAAAACAGATCCATGAGAAAACTGATAAAAATAAAATGGAATTAGTTCTTCTTCATTAATTCTACTTCACCAGCTGTAAACTCTGATGGAAAGTTCTAGCTGGTCGTCCACTTCTGGACTTTAGCCTCGTTCCAGAAGTTGATTTTTGCGTGCTCCATGATATAAAAGTGACTGCACAGGGAAGGAATGGAGAAATAGAATGCAAGATCTAGGTTACATATAACAGCATCCCAAGACAATGAATGAATGAATAGTTAGTTAGGATTATCACCACAGCATTCTAGACAGATCTCTATAGCTCCACAAGCGTAAAGCAACTGATAACGCCTGTGTTGTGCTGTCTTACAGCTGGAAATTCTTCTTCTTCTTCAAAGTTCACTAAAATGGTGGCTGGCATATTGTGCTTTGGTTTATAGCTAGGCTGCGATATCTGTTGCATTAGGCCAAACACATGCTATTTCAGCAAAATCATAGATGGCTGCCTTTTACAGCAAAGCTTGTTACAGTGCAAAGTTGTTCTGGATATGTAGGAATAAATTCTGCTGGTGACATTCCTCAAAGCCCCTGCCTGAGACCATACAGAATGAATTCTCTTCATTTACTTATCATATCAATGATAATTCCGGTCATCACAATGTTTTCTATTGCCTTTTTGCTTAGCACATTACTAAAGAACACAACTGTTAATGCCCCGAGAGAGGAAAGGAAGGGGGAAGCGAGAGGATGTTGGGGCAGAGTTTTCACACTGCTGCTAAAAAGAATGGCACACAGATGTAGGAAACTTATGTCAGACAGCATAGAACTAGTTCGATTAACCATGGGGTGCTGATGTGTTTTTTTAAGGGGGGGGGTGGGGGGGGGGTATGAACAGCTACGAATGTATTGATGAGTCCAGAGTGTCATGAGGACAACCCAACTCATACCACTGTGTCTTTTTTAGAGACCTGCATTATGTCTGACTTTCACTGTCTCTGTCAGGCTAACGTTATTTACTACAACATAAACTGCAGAAACAATATCTCAACTTCCTCTAAGCTAATCTTCATTTGTTCATTCCTAGTTCAAGATTCCATGATTCCCTAGAACAGATCTAACATAAAAATGTCACTTCTCTCTCTTTCAATCTTTTGGTTTTGCATAGCCTTTACAGAATGTTGCAGAACATGTACCAGAATTTTCTGGCAATTCTTCTTTTCTTCTTTGCGTTCACCGACTTTAAACTCCCGCGGAAAGTTCTGGTTGTTCGTCCACCTCTGGACTCTAGTCCTGTTCAAGAAGTGTTGCATGCACATCCGTTTCACAAGTTTAACTCATATGCATGCAGACTGTTGGTTTCTTGCTTCCCAGACAGATGTACTCTGACTTCAAAGGAAGCTCCCATTTAGTCAACTCTTTAGACATGCTTTTGGACAGGCAATGGGTCTATGCTTGTGTTTCCCACAAATGGGGCCCAGGAACCCACATGGGGTCTGGCAATTTTATGTTCATTAGTTTTCCACTGCTTTCTGAATGGTAGGCTTTTATACCTCTGTCCAAATTGGCATAAAGTGGTCGGCTGTCAAATCACCCACAGCTGGGAAAGAATCAAGTGTTTCAAAATAACAAATTGAATTTGCAACGCCTAAGCCACAGACCAGGGCTATTCAACTGTTTACTCATGGGCCAAAATAGTGAAAATACAGGTCGTCATGGGCCAGCGGTATGAGCTCCAGCATAGAAAGGTCGATAATACATTACAACTGGTTATAATCCACTGGCCACTTGCTACGCCTCGGCAGGCCAGATTTTGCCCATGGGCTGCTAGTTGAATAGCCCTGCCATAGACGCTATCTCTCTTTTATTGAGGACAAAAGTTGTAAAAAATAACAACAAATAGGAAGAAAGCAGCAACTACTGATCTTACACTGTACAATATTCTCTTCAACAGAGGACGGAATCTAGAAAAAAATGAATATAAAAGTAAAGAAAGGATAGTACCTGGGTTTCTCCAATAAAACAGCCCCGTTATCTCCAATAAGATCAGCCTCTTGTTTCATCTTAACCCCCAACTCCTTCAGGTCATCACTTTTGAACTTGCAGGCCACAGGGTCATTGACAAAGCCAGCCAAGTAATTCTCCACATAGAACTTTGATGGCTGAATGGGCTTCTTGTTCTGCTTGATAAATCAGTTCAAATACAAACATGGTAGAGGTGTCACCTTACATAAAGCTCAAGATTCTCACTTAATACCAGTCATAACTTTCTCATCCAACTTTTCTCAACCACTCCATCCACTCACTTTAAATTCAAACATCGATTAACAATTTCCACTTCTCAAAAGTCCCCCTCATACAGCTACTACCACTCATTTTACATCCAGCTACAGATTCACATCATTCATGCCTCAAAGGCTTCTCTCATTCAGCTCTTCACTCACCTTACACTCAGCTATAGATTCCCTTTCACTCCTCAAAAGTCCCTCTCATTTAGCTACACCCACTCACATTACACCCAGCTATAGATTAAGATCTTACACTCCTCTCAAGTCCACACAAAGCCTCTCACACTCAAACGAAGGTCCTCACCTTATACTCTGCTACAGCTCTAGATTTGCCTAAAGTTTTCAAGACTCTGTCAGCAGCTTGCAGATATGACTGGTTCTGGAAGCCTTCTATTAGACAAGCTTTAGTGATGTCTGCAACAGAAAAAAGAACCAACAAGCTTTTATGAGACATAGACTATCTCTAAAACATGATGGCTGAGAAGAAATACCAAACAATTTAACACTGGATTATCTATATAAAAAAAAATGCTGGATGAAAGAAATATCAACAATTCAACACTGGAATATCTCTAAAACAATATACTTTTGTGAGACATTGCACTATCTTTAAAAAATAAAACCCACGGCAAGAGAAGAAAGACCAAACAATTAAACACTGGAATATCAAAAGAATATTTTCTTCTACTCACTGACACAAGAGGCTCTCAAATGACACATGCTTATTTCACCTGTCTTTCTCTAGCTTCCAATATGTCCTCCCCCTATTATTCATCTGTCCTGATTCTCTTCTCTGTGTAAATTTTGGTCCTTGTCACCCTGGGTGTTCTAATGCAAGGACATTCTAGTTATGCTAGTGACTGTTTACTCCTGATATACACCCCCAATTTTGTGCTAGCCTTCGTTTCTACAAAAATCAAAACTGTTATGTCTGCTCCATGATTTTTTTTTTTTTTAATCTGGAATTAGATGCACTCCTAGAATGTATGTGCCAAGAAAGAAAAAAAAAAAAATCAAGCATTGCAGTCTGTTAGGGTATTTTCATAATTTCTTTACCAAAAGGTAACCAATTAAATTCATCAGCGGCGTAGTAATGTTGGTCATAGGTGTTAATGAAAGTCAAGGTGCTTGTTTTGTGTGTAAGGAGATACTCAGTACCTCCCTCGGGCGCCAGCAGGCTCTGTGTCTAAAACATCATATGCTAATCCCCCGCCCCCCCCTTTCCACAACTAAGCACAGGTTCTGTTCCTGACTGTTGAGAAAAACAATATGACAAAGTTCAACGCATGCAATTATATGAGGTGCAACATATGCTGGTTTTGAATGAGCATAACTAATTCATAGATCACTCATGCACACAGACACAAATATGCTTATAAATTACAACTCTACAGATTTTTAAAAAAAAAACATCTTTACTGCCTGTAGTTATAACTTTGTATGCCTTCATAGGACAGAAGGGTCATTAGCTTGAGGATCTGAGACTGCCTGGCTAGTGCATCTGCCACAAACTGTGCAGGTTAGGAATCTCCATTCCTTACAAAGGATCAAACCCAGGTCTAACATATGAGAGTCCAGAATTCTAACCACTCAGCTCGCCGCTCCTCTTGGGATAAAGCAAATGAAAAAGTAACAACAGTTTGGGAATGAAAAGATAAAACAAGTTTTCATAAAGAAAATAACTGTCAACACAGGAATGTAGTTCAAACACAAAAACTTACCCTCTAAAGCTTCTCTGTATTTTTCTAACACTTCATAGGCTTTTGACCGCCTGGCCAGAGCCTTGGAATACCTTGGGTTGAGCTGCAGAGCTGCGGTGCAGTCTTCTATCACATTCTTATAGTTTTTCTATTTTTAGAAATAGTTGAATTTAGTGTCACTAGTTGCATCAACCAGAGTAAATAATATTACATTCATCTTCTGTGTTTTTCCTTTAACAGATGGTCGTCATGTTGTGTTCTAGTTTATAGCTTGACTAAGCTGCAAAATCTGCATCTTTTGACACACTATATCCAATTTCAGCAAATCTTTGCAAATAACCTTGGGCCAAAGAAATATTATATATATATATATATAAACAAACAATTTAGGGGTGCCTAGTTGGTCATGTTGTTAGCACACTTGCTTCCACAGTATGGCAAACACACCATTTATAGGCATTTGATTCCCGTCTTGTAACTACAACTTTCGATTTTTATATTGCCTAGTGTGTCCTTCTATCTTTAGATTTCTTATTAGGAGTGCCGATCATTGTCTGTTTGTTTATTATATATTTAATTATTAAGGAGCAGTGGATCTATTCCTTTTTTAAATCCTGCCTAAAGGTACCCCAGAACCAAGAGTTGCTGTACTTACTGGTACCCTTCTGTTTTTCCGGATGATGAGGAGAGTGCAGAGAACCAATACTGAACTTTACAGGTAGACAACAAATCAAATTATTTGGCCAGGTAACAAGACTGGTATAAGACAGGGCATCACAGAGAGCAATGTTACACAGATACAATGGTAATAGTTCCAGAGGTTGACCACACAGAAGATGGACCGCAGAAATATCGCAGAGACACTGATAAGTACTTTATATGAAGCAAACATCAATGAAAGAGATCTCTTCCTGCCCTGACGCTGTGAGACATTCAAGCAGTGGAGAAAAGAAGAAGAAAAGAAGTAAAGATAAACAATATTTAAATCTAAAGGTCATCCTCAGAGAACATCAAAGAATTCAGTTTTCTTCTGAGTATACCCCTCACAGTGGCTGATGACATTAAGTTCTTGTTCATTTACTAGTGTTCTCTGGCCTTCTGCATAGCTCTCTTGTCTGTTTCCCCCATACCCTTCTCCTTCTCTCTTTTAACTTGCTGTTTTAGCATTCTGGTCCATGTCATAGACCATAATTTAATTCACTTCATTCTTTTGTCTTTTAAGGCATTTCTCTTTTTCTTTAGGTTCAACAAATGTAAACTCTGACAGAAAGTTCTGGTCGTTAGTCCACTTTTTTGTCTTCTTCAAAGGCTTAACCGTTGGGTTACAGATAAGACTTTGTGTACAGACTACTGGTTCTTGCCTCTCGAGCGGATGAACCCCGACCTTGAAGGAAACAATCTATATAAGTTGGTCAGGCTCCCAGTTGGGAACCTGTTTCTAGGATGGTTGCGGAGAGATGTAGACATGTCTTGATCAGTATTAGCCATGGCCCTGTTGTACCACCAGGTGGGTTTCAGCCCCTCTGCATTCCTGAGGGCATTAAGTAGATCAGTCTGGTTCAGTGTTTGTCCATTTTCCACAACAGCCAGGGAAGCAAGTCTATCAGACTTGATCATTTCTCCTTTACACACCTGCAAGCCCCAGCACAGAAATAAAGCTGATCATCACCTGACTTCAACACTGTCTGCGAGCCCAGCCCATGCAGCAAATCAATGGTGAGACAGAGAAACAAAACACTATATTCTAAAACAAACAGAGAATTAGTTGCGTTAACAACTGAAATCATAGCACCTGAAACATCCCCATGAGCAATCTATCCACATCTTTAGCAGCCAGCGCAGAGTTCCAATTCCGACAGTACCAGTAGCAGCCTGGTTATATGTCTGTCTTGCCTTTCCCCTGAGTGTTGAATGTCAGCTAGATTGCCTGGTCACTTCCCCTTACACCATTCTCTTAACTCTTTGAGTCCCAGCGGGTTTAGCATCACAGGCCCAAGGGGTAGTCAAGAGAGACGTAAAATCGGCGCATCATGCGTTCATTGGGCTTCTAAGTAGGAATCTATGAACGTATGATGCGTTCCTTGGGACTCAAAGAGTTAAGACTGAAAAGAGAGTGAAATAGAGGGGAAAAATAGAGCAGGGAGGAAGTGAAAGTAGGGAGAAAAATATGAAAAGAGGACATTGAAAAATAAAGAGAGAGAAGGTGGGGGGAGAAGTCAAGTCAAACACAGAGCAGAGAAAGATAAAGTGTGAAACAAAGAAACAAGTAGCTGATAGACAACAAGAAGTAGGCTACACATACCTGATTTTCATAGGCTGCTGCCCGGTTCTGATAGAATGTGGACATGTCTGTCTTGATGTCTGGCGGGCAAGTCTTAATGGCCTCGGTGTAGCAGATAATTGCATCCTCATATTTACCTTCCTTAAAAAATTTGTTCCCCTTGTTTTTGGCTGCCTGAGCCAGATCTTGACGACTCTGAACAAAATAAAAACAATGTCAATGATACAGCCCATAAATTTCATTACAAAATAAAGTAAAAGGATAGGTACATCAGACATTAGGTAATTTTCAAATACACATAAGGAGGCCGCAATGTGCTGTCATGATAGTAATCCTTGGCAAACAAACTGGAAACAGAACAAGGTAGGTCAATGCGAACTTCAATCAAGGTTGTCATTCAAAATTAAACCTAGCTTTGTTTGCAAGTGTAAAAATATTTGAGCATAAACTGCATTCGTTAACACCTTTCCGTCTTTTTAGACAACAGAGTTATATTGTGCTATAGGGAAGGATGGGAATCGGCTGAAAGTGATGGAAAGGCAGACCAATTATGGCCAAGGACAAAGTTCCCATTGCAGTAGTGTAGAGACAATGTGTTGCCTATGTATCACGATCCCTCTCTCTCCTGCCATGTTTTATAATAAAAAAAAGGTAGCACCAACATGTTCCTTCTGATGGATGATGTCATCAAGACCTGTAAAGAGAAAGGGTAGTGGAATATGAGACCAACCCGCTAATCAGAGCTGGCATTTGCAGAGAGAGTGATAGCTTAAATCAGAGGCACAACTTTAATCCAACTTACATGTCATGAAGAAAGAGCTTAAGAAGAGAGGTATGACCATCAGTGTTTCCAAAACAAAAACCAAGGTGATCTCAAGAGAGGAGAAGAAACATCAGATCACGATCTGACAACATGCAATGAAGCAGGTCAACTAGCTGAAATACCTTGGAGTCGTGACAGACCAGAATGGAGGCATCAAGTCTGAGTTAGCTGCTCAACCAGCAACTGTGAGAGCCTTTTCCAGGCCATAAACAGGGGTTTCTCAACAAAAGAAAAATTAGCAGGTGGACACAAATGTGTGTATAATGCTCTAACTATGTGCCAGTCCTGACATATAGGTGTGAATCATGGGCAATGACAACAGCTCACAAAAGCCAGCTTCAGGCCTCAGGAATGAGGTATCTGATAAAGGTAGTCTACGTGAACAATTGTGCAGTCAGACAATACATCATGACATTAATATTCAGGCTAACAAACTCTAGTGAATCAGTCACAGTTGCGATGGTTTGGACATGTATGCAAAATGAGAGAGAATCAGCCACCACAGCAGGCATGGGAAGGCAAGAACCAGGGAACCACACCACCAGGATTACCTAGGACTTGCTGGGAAGACAACATCCGACAATCCCCAACTGACAGAGGACTCAAATGGAACAAAGCAACAACAAAAAAACTTATGAAAGAAAAGTCTGGCGATCTCTCTCTCTGGCAAACTTCTACACCACAAGGTAGAAGAGGAGCTAAGTAAGTACGTAACACCAACATGTTTCAAAAAACATAGTGAAGAAGCTGCCAGATTAGAAGAACAGTGGTCCATCTGTTCACCTGTCAAGGCTTCCCTCCTCAACTAGCTGCAGGTGTAGGCTGAGTAGCTGGTCTGCCCTGCGATAATACTGAGTCCTACAGTACCAAGGAATTCACTATATGTTCATTGGTTACTCTTTATACGCCATTCTTCTGTTAGTTTGATCCCTTAGATTTTACTTTTTTACTCTTCTGCACCAAACCAACATTTTTTTTCTTTTTCAGCTCTAAGAGACATAAAAAATTCTTGCTTTAAAATTCAGAAATCTTATAAAGGACTTCTTGAATTCAAAACATACCTGGTACTGAAAGAGTTAAATTTCCTGGGGGAATTTTCTCTGGCTATCCTCCAAAAAACGGCCCTAAATTATTGAGGTGGAAAATATACCTTAACAGGGCCTCAGTCCCGTGTCAATTGCTCACTTCCGTTGTCTTAAATTGCGCACTTCCGCCACTGCCGAGAGTAGCCCCCACGTTGCTCACGCGGCGTGGGGCTAAACTAGATGGCTGGGACTCACAAGCAGCAGCTACCACATCTCCTGCAGCTTCCTTCATTTTATTTGCCCGTGAGTCCTAGCCATCTAGTTTAGCCCCAACCCACGCCGCTCATGCGGCGTGGGGGATACTCTCGGCGGTGGCGGAAGTCGCCGGAAGTTCGCAATTCGGCGGTGGCGTTATAGTCCCCGGAAGTGCGCAATTGACACGTGACTGAGGCCCTGTTAGGGTATATTTTCGGCCTCAATAATTTAGGACCGTTATTCGGAGGATAGCCATTTCCTCTTTTTAGGATAAGGCTAGTATCCTCCCCAAAGCAATTGTCTGTTCAAATAGCACCATGTGGGCTGTCAGGTCTGGTATGTGCCGCCTAATATTTGCTCAAAATTAATCAAAAGTCCTCAAGTTCAGAAACTGGATTCACTAGCAGAGCAGCATAAAATTATTTAACTCTTTTAGTCCCAGACATGTGTTTCTGTAACCCTTCATCAGGCAGTCTCATAGTTTAAAATGGTGTGTCTTGACGGGTTAAAATAATATTAATAACTCTAAGAGACACAAGGAGCTAAAGTAATAGTTGGGACATGATGGGTTAAAGTTTCAGTAAGATGCTAGGAAAAAGCATAGCCAACCAATAGTATGTAAGGCAATTCCAATAAAGGGCTACCCTCCGACTAACGGTCAGTAAAGATGGCGGCCGCAAAATATCCTGAAGAGCCACAGTCACATGTCAATTGTGCACTAGCGGTTACGAGCACATCGCAGGGAAAACTAGGATTAGTGTCTGTTGACAAATCTGAGAAACGTTAAACTCGCCGCCGAGAGTCTCCCCCCGCGCCGTTACGCGTGGCGCAGATGGGGCTAAACTAGATGGCTGGGACCCACGAGCAGCAGCTTCCGCATCTCCTACAGCTTTGCTCGTGAGTCCTAGCCATCTAGTTTAGCCCCAATCCACGCGTGGGGGCTATTCTCGGCGGTGACGGTAGTCGCCGGAAAACCGCAAATTAAGTCGCCAGAAGTTGACATGTGACTGAGGCCCTGTTTTTGGTTGACATCTTTTGTGAACATTGCCAGTCTGTGGATGCTACTAAAAAGAAAGCTGCGTAACCAATGTGGTACGAGCTGCGCCTTGTTCCGATCCTACTTAGCCGAGTTTCAATGGCGTACAGCCACAAACAGCAGATTTTCGGGCACTATTTAGAACATCTGTGCCATAATTTCCAGATATAAAGGCCTACAATTATCGGTAAGCAGTCGATACTTTTTTTCGTTCCTTTTTAGTTTTGACTTCAATTTTTGAATGTTTACAACACATGACACGTGACTGTGGCTCGAAAGGATATTTTGCGGCCGCCATATTTACCGACCGTTGTTAGGAGGATAGCCCAATAAAGACATGGGTGAGTTGCTTGGTACTAAAACTGCGTTAACTAAACAATGTGAATGGTCACTAAACTATAGGCTTCTTTTGTTAACAATGCGGATGTAAAGTGTAAGGTGTGTCTACGTGATCACACTGAGTTCATGCAATGTAAGTTATGTGTAACAAAAACACAGAGCTCTTAACTCTTCCGATTCTAATCTAATTCTTACACCCCATTCAATGTGCCCGGGGAATTAAAAGTGAATATGGCAAACGCTCTAACAGGGTCTTAGCGATATGTTACTTGTGGACCTGTTTCTCAAGTTCTGTGACTATGCCTCAATGCCGACCGTATCCCCAGCGGCGCGGATGGGGGCTAAACTAGATGGTTGGGACTCACGAGCAGCAGCTACTGCATCTCCTGCAACTTCCTCCAATTAATTTGCTTGTGAGTCCCAGGCACCTACTAGGTTTAGCCCCCCATCTGCGTCGCTCGTAGCGGCCCGGGGGATACTTCAGCTGTGAGTGAAACCGCATTTTGCGCATGCCGACAAGTGGCTAATCTGCGTCGGCGCACGTGGACTCCCCGCCATGTGGCTTTTATCGTCAGTAATGTTACGTGCCTCAAAAATTGTCCATGGTCGCTATAGTATTGTCTGCTACTATCGTCTGCAGTGTTGGCAACACTGTTGCATCTCTTGAAAGTGTCAGTACTGTCAGGTAATCCTAGTTTTGCCGCGATTCGTTCGTCGCCAGAAGTTCGCATATTTTTAATAGATCTGAGCCCCGTACGGATATTTGTTGCCGCCATAATGCAGGGGTAGAAGTTCGGAGGAGAGCCGTGAATATTATTTCACATGACTGACAGATGCACAGTAATAATTATAGTCTGTAGTCCGAAAAATTTGATACTTTCAAAATCAATTCTAAGATCTACAGTACAGTACTACTAGTATTACTTTACTACTATAAAAGAAGCAGAACAAACCTGAGGCTGTTTCTGCGTTTGTTGTTGGGTCTTCGAAGCAGAAGTCGTTTTCACATCTTTAAGTTTATTCTCGAGCCCTTCTCCGCCCACATCTTCTACCTTCTTGGAACCAGCAGCACCACGCTTGTAGTACCAGAACCCTGCAACTCCCAGTGCTAGGGGTGCCCCGACATAGAGAGCAATGTCCCACTTGGACCAGCCTTCGGTAAGGTCCTTCAGTTGGTCGCCGATCTTCGTCAACGTCGCCATCTTGTTGCTCTCGCCTCAAACGAGAATCGTCACGTGGTTACCACGAGGGTGCCAAGGTCTCAACAGATGTGGCCCATATTTTATAGTCCAATTAGTTAGTTAGTCTTTCCTCTTGTGTCGAGTGCGGCACATAGGGCAGAGGTCATGACTCTCCATGCATGACGGTTTGTTGCAATCTGTTGTAGGTCTTGGATGTTTGAGTGGCCCATGAGCGAGCCTTCCCTGATGATAGTTCTACGTAGGGTTTCCCTTGGTCTTCCACGAGATCTTTTCCGCTGTGGTGTCCAAATGAGGGCTTGGTAAGGAAGTCTTGATTGATCCATTCTAAGGGCGTGGCCGACATAGTTCCAGCGGCTTTTTCGTATAAAATTAGACACATACTCTTGCCTGGATTCTTGCCTTATTTGTGTATTGGTTCGGAAATCTGACCATTTGAAATTTAGTATTCTTCTAAGGCATTTATTTTCAAAACTGTCTAATTTTGTGTCTAGAGTTTTCGTTGATTTCCAGCTCTCACATCCATAGGTTAGTACTGGAATCACACAAGAATTGAAGATCTTGAGTTTTGTGTGTTTGCTAAGTGTCTTTGATTTCCAGATGTGTTGGACAGTTTATTGAAGGCACTAGATGCCAGTGCTATTCTAAATGGTATTTCTGGTGCGGTATCTCCTGTAGATGACATCTTGCTCCCTAGATAAGTGAAACTGTTGACTTTTTCAAGGCTGTTGTTGTTCAGCGTGATATTAACTGAACTGTTGGTAAGGTCTAGAATTTTTGTTTTTGCGGTGTTAATTTGGAGTCCAATTTGTTCTGAGAAATTCTGGAGTCGATTGATTTTTTCTTGGGCGTCTGTGTGTTCTGAACTCAGGAGTGCTATGTCGTCGCCGAAGTCTAGGTCTTCCAGAATTTTGTCAACCCATGTAATGCCTAAATTTGCGTTATTTATGCACTTGCGCATGACCCAGTCGATTGCTATACCAAAAAGCATCGGCGATAGGACACAGCCTTGCTTCACTCCTGTTTCCATTGGGAACCAGTCAGAATTGCCGGAATCAGTTCTTACACAGCATCGTGTTTCATTATAAAAAGATTTTATGATGTTGATATATTTGATGGGGAAACCATAGATGTAAAGCAATTTCCAGAGTGTTGGACGATGGATACTGTCGAAGGCTTTTTGAAAGTCGACAAAGTTGATCAATAATTTCGACTGGAATTCTGTAGAATCTTCAACAATTATTCTAAGAGTAAAGATGTGGTCTATGCATGACCGCTTGGATCTAAAACCGGTTTGTTCTTCCCTTAATCTTTCATCTATGGATTTTTTCAATCTTTCTAGTAGCATACTACAAAATAGTTTCCCTGGTATCGAAAGCAGGGTGATGCCTCTCCAGTTGTTACAATCGGATAAATCACCTTTTTTTAGGTAATCTGAAGATTACACCATCTTTCCATTGTGGGTATTCGTTTTACCAGACTTCATCCATCAGCTGGAGCAAATGTTGCAGGGTGTTTTCATCCGCTGCTTTGAGCATTTCCCCTGAGATGTTGTCCTCTCCGGTAGCTTTCTTTATTCTTAATTTTTAATAGCTGTTTTAATCTCCTCTATTGTGAATGACTCGCTGGAGGCAACTAGTGTCGGTGTAATAATTTCTTCTTCTAGATTGGGAATGATGTCAGGATTTGGTCTATTTAATATTTCCTTGAAATGTTCTGCCCATCGCTTTGTTTGTTGGTCGTCGGATAGCAGTAGTTTACCCTGCTTGTCTTTAATGGGTGTATTTAGTGTAGGTGAGTGATTGTACAGTTGTTTCATAATATGGAATACGGCTTTGTTGTTTCCAATCTTGGCAGCTGTTTCGGCATCGGGGGTGAGGTCGTGTATGAAGTTCTGTTTGTCTTTCCTTGCATTTGATTTCACTTCTTTGTCTAACATGCTGTATTTTTCGTATGAAGATGTGTCTTTTTTGAATAAAAATGGTAATTTTGCTTGTTTCCTTTCTTGGATTTTTGACCAAGTGTTGTCGCTTAGCCACTTCTTTTTCTGCTTTTGTACATAACCAACTGTGTTTACTGCAGCGTTCGTCAGTGTGTTCTTGAAAAAGTCCAATTAAACAAACAAAAATATTTATCAGGTATTTGAAAGAGAAAGTATCACAACAGTCTCAAGAGAAATCACCTGATAAAGAAAATTGCTGGAACAGACTAGGGAGCGAACCTCGGTGTCTTCAAGAAAACTTACACCGGCTATGCGATGAATATAGGATAGTTACATGGGGTACGGCCGCTAAGTCGAATTTCAAGAAACTCCAAGATTCTAAATCACGCATTCATCATCATCCTCATCATCGGGTGCCTTGCCAACTGGCGTGGGCGATCATGCCTCTCCACAATTTGTGATCTCCTGCAGCATGTATCAGTTCGTATGCTGACACACCTCCGTGCCATGCAACAAGACTGTCAAGAATCTTCTCTCGTTGTCTTTCTCTGTCCCTCCTTCCACAGAGCTTTCCAGTGGTCACAACCTGTTCTATTTTCCCTCTTCTCATAACATGGTCGAAAAATTATGACTGCCTCATTCTGATGTCTGTGATAAGTTTTCTTCGGGCTCCCGTCTCGTTCAAAACTTCTTGGTTGCTCTTTTTGGCTGTTCAATGTATTCTAAGAATTCTTCTGTAAAACCACATCTCTGAGGCCTCAAGAAATTGTTTGGCCTGCCTACCGATTGTCCAGGATTCACAGCCATATGATAAAACTGGATGTATGTAGCAAGCAAGAATTCTTTTTCTAACTCTCAATGACTAAGATATATTACACATTGCATATTTTTTTAATGCATTATGACAGAAATTATGCTCTCTGCGCTCATAACAGACATCTAAACGCTTACTGACCTTCGTGTTCTGGAATACAGGTGTTTCAGACACACAGCGAGTTATACAGCTCTCCGAATACTACTATTTGAAAAAACAACCCATGCGCAATCGATACGGAAAAAGGGGAATATACATAGAATGTTCAAACGAGTTTTCTCAGGGCATTAACAGTTTTGAAAAATGTCACAGTGTTCTTTGTCACTATTGACATTTCGGTTCTGCAAGCAATCGACAGCCCGACAGATACACCTTTCGTAGATTTCACATAACGGCTAATTCACAAAGGCTTTTCAGGTGAACAGTCTGTCATGCATTGTATTTTATATGATATATTTGGTTAGAAGCAGCAGTGACATTGTGAAATTAAATTGTCCTAACTCAGCTGTAGACCAAGACTTTAATGCTTGTTAAAATATGTAACCAATACAAATAATTGCCACTCACTCAAAATTATCTAAATAAGACTCGCTCCAGCGCCTCTCTAGACAAGGGCAGACTATATCAACATGCGTTCAGAAGGGAAACACGAAGATGTGTCCTAGCAACGCGGTGACTGAAAATGTCCAGCATGTACTCCAACACTGTAAACTGCATGTTGCTGACCGAGGTTTTCTGTTTGTCCACTACTAGAATTTAGTTTTGTTTGGGACTTTTTTTTTTTTTTTTTGGCGTGCATATCCGTTTTAAAGATCTGGCTTATTTGTAAGCAGACTATTGGTTCCTTGCCTTTCATGCAGATGCACTCCAACTTCGAAGGAAACGCCATTATTTATTCGATTTTTCGATATTATTTTTAGGGAGCAGTGGGGATAATGGTAATGATAATAGTTGTGGTAGTTGTAGTGGTGGTGGTAGTGGTAATAGTAGCAATAGTGGTAGCAATACTCGTTGTAGTGGTAATAGTAGTAGTAATTGTAGTGATGGCTATGGTGGTGGCAGTGATAGTGACGGTGGCTGTAGTAGTGCATTATCCTGCCATTGAATCAAGATAGACAGAGGCGACAGAGTAAGGTAGGCGAGCTGCGCATCTCTTCCTCACATAAATCCAAGTCCTTGCGCTTGTCACTTTCATTCATTTATCACTTATAATCATTGACTATTGTTACTTTGGATGAAAGAGGTCTTTATCAGTCGTGATGGACGAACAACAACAGTAGTGGTCGCAACAGTAGCAATGAGAGCAGCTACAGCAGCAGTAGTAGTAGTGAAGACGATGGCGGTAGCAGTAGTAGTAGCAGCAGTGGCAGCAGCAGTATTATAGTAGCTGTAGTAGTAGCAGCAGCAGCAGTGGTTATATCAGCTGCAGTAGCAGCAGCAGCAGCAGTAGTAGTAGCAGCAGCAGCAGCAGCAGCAGCAGTAGTAGTAGTAGTAGTAGAAGTAGTAGTAGTTTTGAATGCACGTTTCGACCAGGGCCCAAACAAACAAACAAAAACCCAACATGCAGCACCAAGAAGCACCAACGTTTGCAAGAATCCGACATGAGCCACACATTTGACGTCGACTGAACTCGTGTAGTACTCTCACTCACGTAGGGCTGTACTCCTACAAGGCAACGGCCTATTCGATCCATGACGAAAAACTATGCTATGTAGTATAAAATCAGGATCAAGGTCACGCCCAACTAACAAAATATAACAACAAACATCCCCGCCCCAAAAAAAAAGGACTGCTCTCGGGGAACGTTTTCGAATCACCAAAAAGTTGGCGAAATTTGAGCGCCATAATCGCTAGTCTACAAATCCGAATCTCTAAAATGCCGCCGCAAAAGCAGGATAAGAAGAAAGGAGGACAGTCAGCTCCTCGAACAGATCCCTTCATTGGATCCAGGCTTGTGCTCGGGCTGACTTCTCACAATATTAACGATTTCCTGCCTGAGAAAGACATTGCTTTAGTGATGTTTTACGATCCAAATGACCCACAATGTGAGTGGTCTAAGAAGCATTTTCTCAAGGTAAAATACAATTATTTTCATAATTTATTTAAACTAAGACTAATCAGTGAGCTTAGGCGTTGCGAGTCCGACTTGTAATTCCAACGTACCGCGATCGAAACCCGCTGCTGGCTGTGTAGATTTTTATCATGGTATGGGGCATCACGTCGGCTCTGTGGCTAAGTCGATGCGAACGCTTCGCTTCGTAATTACGGGATGCCAGGTTCGATCCCAGCTGCGGGCAATGCGACTTCCGTTGGTTTCGACAGTGGTATCAAGAAAGCTGACCGTCCAGGGGCAATGGTAAACTACTGAATGTAAATTGCCTAGAGAAACCACACAACAGCCAGGGGCTGTTAAGGTTGGTTCTGCGACGTCCTGTAAAGGATACGCAACTAACTAATGGGGCGTCACAGGTCGACCCAGCCTGAAATGGGTACCAGGATGGATGTCCTGAGGAATTAGAGACCGCAGGCGTAATGCTGACCACATTACCCACCCAGTGCCCATTGGTCTGTAAAAATATGGGTGCTCTTTCTATATGCTCGGTGCGCCTAGAGGCGTGAAAGGGGATCTTTACTAATCAGTGGAATTATGAGGGCTAACAGACTAAGATTGCGATAGTAAGCACACATGGGTAGAGTGCCAGATAACAGAGATACAAAAACTGCGTACACGAAGGAGTTGAATACAAGGCACACATAGAAGACGGTCGAGCTTTTTTTTTTCTTTAGATTTGTAAATTATTCAACATCTTCGCCATACTGGTCCCAAGCGCGGTTGAGAAAAAGTGGGTAAATATATAATGTAAATAGAAATATATAATGTAAATAGAAATATATAATGTATAAATGTAAAATAGAAAAATATGTAAATAAAATGTAAATATAATTAAACAGTAAATAGAAATATATAAAATAGAAATGTAAATAGAAATATATAATGTAAATAGAAATATATAATGTAAATAGAAATATATAATGTAAATAGAAATATATAATGTAAATAGAAATATATAATGTAAATAGAAATATATAATGTAAATAGAAAAATATAATGTAAATAGAAATATATAATGTAAATAGAAATATATAATGTAAATAGAAATATATCACGGATTTGACTACAATTGCTCTACGAAAGTAAGTAGCCTGACATTCACACTTGTTGTTGCCACCTTTCCGCCTTTCTACATGTGTTTGTTATTCGACCTATGCTGGGTAATAAAGCATTTCTGTAACCTATGGGGCCATTTCAATGGTTTAAGGGGAATTCTGTCCGTATTCCAGAGGTGTGGATTTCGGGCTGTACGATAGGCATGGCCAATGAAGACCCCTTGTTTGGGGTGCCTGGTAGTTCATGTTCTTAGTGCACTTGTTTTCCATGCACCATTTAGATGTGACAGGTTTGATTCCCGCCAAGGTAATTATAGCTCTCGATTCGTTTGTTATCTAGTGTGTCCTTCTATCTTTCTACTTCTTTCTACGAGTGCCTATCAATACATTATCTCTTTATTATGTATTCCGTCTTTCTAGACGACAGTGTTATGTTGTACCTTGGGGGTTCATGGGACTGACAGCCCATGTCGTTCGCGAGTGTTACAAACAAGACCCACCTGAGTTAAAAAAAGTCTTCCACAATTTGAGAATGAGATTTCACGACCGTTGTTGCCAACATATGTAAAGGCGTTTTTCAGACATTCAGCTCTAATCCTTCTTGCATTCATTGCTTCCTGCATTGTTATTCCCTTGCTGCTGGCCTACCACCTGATAGTTAAATGTTTGATTCCACGTCAAGACGATTTTAAAAAAAAAATAGTTTGCTTCCCTATCAAGATGCGTTGAGCTTAGAGCAGACATCACATTTCTCGAGACATTCCCATAAAAACTCTGTATTCCTCATTTGGGAACGGTGGTGGAGTAGTGGCTAGACAAAGAACCTTAAAGTTTTAGGTGCTTAAGGCATCCCAGTGTCTTAATCCGGTCCCGCCTGCTCTGCAAGCCAATCAGCTTGCTCATTTCTTTTGCACGCCTTTGGAGTCTTTGGACTCCGCCTATCCCTATGGCGAATCACGTCCGACTTAAGCTATTAAATAGAGCCAGAAGTGGTTGTATGAACCGATAGGAACTCTGTGGGTGAAATGGGAACATTACGTCGGCCGCCCTTACTTTCCAGGGCATTGTTTGGTACCTTATTTTAGGCTGGGTTAACGTGGGAGCCAAGGGGTAAAGTTAGTTCGTTAGTTGTGTATCTTTTACAGGACGTTGCAGAACCAACCTTTCAGATTGTCTTTTTTTTTTTTTTTTATGTTCTGGTTTTTCTAGGCAAATAAACATCCAATAGTTTGTCATTGCTTTCTTTACGGACGGTTTTCGGTAACACTATCGAAAGCAATGCAAGACAAACCGTCCGCAGCTGAGATCGAACCCGGCATCCCTGCATTACGAAGCGCGTTCGCAACGCCTAATCCACAACGCCGACGTGTGGTGAAGTAGATAGAGGATATTTTCCTATACCTTTCGCTGTATTGGGTATTTGCGTTCGATCTATATTTTACACGGCAATCGAGATTAAAATGTATGGTCTTTACGTGGTACCCATTTAAGGCTGGCTTAACCTGGGATGTAAGGTAATTTTTGAAGAAGTGAAAGAAAAAAAAAGTTTGGCACCGTTCCGATCTTTGGATCCGCAAGCTAGAGTCCAGCCGCTATACCATGGCGGCTCATTGGTATGCGTATATTAGATTCGTATTTCCATTCATCCAGCAATGCTATTATTTACGAGTCTCCGAAGCTCCTGATTGTATTCCACCCCCCCCCCCCTCAACCACCACCCTCAGTTCCCAAACAGACATATAGAAAGGAGTTATGACATTATTTGCGGGAAATGCACCAGATGGATAGCACCTTGAAATGGTAGGTAGTTGCTTTGCTAGAAGAAGAAAAAAAATCGCCACGGTTCCCCCGAAGGGGGATCTTTAGGTTATAATTGTGACTAGGCTATGTGCGCCACACAAAATAGCTTAGCATTGCACCTCACCAAAAGCCCTGAAAAAGACTCATGGAGTGCGGATGCGATCAAAGTAGACAGAACCAAATACTGTCCCGATCGGCGGCGATGTCGTCTGCCGGCGAGCCAATAGGCGACCCGGTCGCCGATGATGCATCTAGAAATGGGCACAACAAAATGGTATAAAAAGCAAGGGCTTGCTTAGTGGTCTATAAAAAAATTAATGCCTAGCTGATATACCTTAAATATGAACACAGGCCCTTCAGTTGACTTCTACCAGTTTGGGAAAAGGGGGGGGGGGGTAGGGAGAGAATATACACACTGCTTTCCTAACACTCATGTCGTAGAAATGGACTAATAATTAGGAGTGTTTTCTTCAAAGTCGGAGTTAATCTGCCAGAGACACAAGAAAAACAGTCTGCATACAGTAAGCCAGATTTGTAAAACGGATACGCACGAAAAACTTCAATTCTAAAACCTGACTAAAGTCTAGAAATGGACGAACAACCAGAACTTTAACATCCAGTGAAGGCAAAGAAGATGAAGAAGACTTGGCTTCGTTATAATCTTCTGAGGAAGGAGACAGTGCCTGTTTGAGAATATCTCGAGTGTATTACTGTCAATGCATTCATTCACTCATTCATTCATTCATCCATTCATTCAATAGTGCAATGCATTAGTTTCGGACTGCTGTGACTATTGCATTATTTCCCGCCAGGCGGCCAAGACAACCGTCAGAGAAAACCACGCCTATGCGGCCATCGACTGCACCCAGCAGGATGAACTGTGCGAGACGGAAGGAGTCACTTCTCTTCCATCTTTCAAGCTCTATTCAAAGGGCAAGGTGTTTGGCGTCTACGACAGACCTAGAGAGTTTGTCTATTTCACGATGAGGAAGTTCGTCGAGAACGCTCCGCTGCTAACAGAACCCCAGCGCCCTAAACGGCCATGTTGACTTTCATAGCGCATGTCCAATTCTTGGCTCCGGATTTCAGAAGAAATTTCCCGATATCTGTTGCGCTTCAAAATTGAACCTGTGCTTTTTTATGCGCATCTTAGCAGTTTCTTTATGTGTGGTCCATATTTTGTTCATGGTATGAGACCGTCTTATTCTGCCTATAGGAGCAAGGCTCAATTGAGGAACTGAAAAATTTATCAGAGTTAGTTAGTTAGTCTTTCCTCTTGTGTCGAGTGCAGCACATAGGGCAGAGGTCATGACTCTCTATGCATGGCGGTTCATTGCAATCTGTTGTAGGTCTTGGATGTTTGAGTGGCCCATGAGCGAGCCTTCCCTGTTGATAGTTCTACGTAGGGTTTCCCAAGCTTAGCTTGGTCATGTTTGTTTATAGGTAGGAAGCTTCCCAACAAATTTAGGACGAGGATTTCGTCGATGACATATTTGGAAACATTTAGTCAATGATGTCAGTGGGCAAGAATTTGGTCGATGCTTTCTACAATGAGGCAATGCAGCAAAGAAAACATTTACAGTTGGCATTCTTGTGTAGTTTTAGTTTATAGCTGCTGTATCTTGACAAGAGTATCAACAACCCTTAACCGACTGTATAATCTTATATTTGATTCGTAGTGTACAGTTACCGTAGAAACAGTTTCTTCTACACATTAAAAAGAAAACCAAAACCGAAGCTTAATTTGGAAGCAGACGAGAAATTTCAAATATACCAGTCTAGGAAAAAAAAAGCGAACCTATAAGAAACATTTGCCAGAAGCATAAGATTTGTATCTGTAAGCATACAACTTTTGCACTTGTGAAGCCAAAATAAAGATGCTGGGTAAACATTCATTACAGTAACTGATGGGCCAACCATACATGTAGAAGTTCTAATGTTTAGGATTGGTTACTTTAAAGTGTGCCAGGTCACTTCGAGTGTTTCTTATATGTTTGATAGTATAGAAAATCTGACGCTTTTCATCAAAATCCAAAATAAACAGGAATTTACTCTGTTAATACGATGCTCTGACATAAAATGGTGTGTGGCATGTCCCGAACTGGCCTACAGTGCTCATCAAATTTAAAGGGGAAAAAATAATAAGTTATAAATAACAATTTGAGCTGTAATTTTTTGTTTGGGTTTTTAATTGACTTTGTGTATAGAATTGCTTTGTTTTTTTTTTCTTTTCCTATTTTCTTTCTTTCTTTCTTCCTTGTCTTTCTTTTTTTTTTCGTTCGTTATTTCTTTCTTTTTCTGACTTTCTTTGTTTCTTTCTTTCTTTCTTTCTTTCTTCGTTTCTTTTTTTCTTCATTTCTTTCTTTCTTTATTTTTTCTTTCTTCGTTTCTTTGTCATTTATAAATTGTGTTGTTGTTGTTGTTGTTGTTGCTAATATTCATTTTTCTCTTTTTGTTTGTCTACTTCTATTTAAACAAAACAAAAAATTGTTTTCCCTTGTAGTGAGTGTATCTACTAATTCCTCTACTCTGTTATGTTGTCGTTGTGTGTGTCTTTGTTTTATTTGTCTGTTTCCGTGTGTATGTGTGTGCTGTTTAGTTTTCGTGCTTTTAAAAATGTATTTTTCTTTTAATTTGAGTTTCCTTACAAAAGACAGTGAAGTTCATACTAGAGACAACATTGCAGATATAGATAATTTATTCCCCGTGTTGGTTCCGGGGCCCTATTATAGGGAAAACAAGAATAGACCCACTGCCTACCCAAAAGCATGTGGTAAGAGTAGACTAACTGGGAGCTTCCTTTGAAGTCGGAGTGCATCTGCACGAGAGGCAAAGAACCAACAGTCTGCACACACATAACATCTGTAAAACGGATGCACAAGCAACACTCAGGTTCTGAAACAGGACTGCAGTCCAGATGTGGACGAACAACCAGAACTTTCGCTGGAGTTTACAGCCAGTGAATGTGAAGAAGAAGAAGATAATTTATTTCAAGCGAACGAAAGAAGAAAAGAAAGAAGTTGTCTTCCACTAGCGAATTTCTCAGTTGTTTTACGTTTGGACTGCTGTCTTCATGCATTCACCACACACACACATACACACACACACACACACACACACACACACACACACATATTTCACATGAAATCTACAGCTCAAAGTATCGCTTTAGGCACTAGCCACAGTAGCTGCGTGACTTCATCTTTAATCTTTCCATCCCAATAATCAAATGAATGAATAAATAAAGGACTGACATCACTACACTCGGGACATTCTGCTCTGCTCTATTCTCCCATTATTCTTACTCATTCTATCTCAATAGCTACTGCAACTCATGGGGGAGGGAAAAGTCCAAGAAAGAGTAAGTAGAGACGATACAACTGGAAGGACAACATCAACAGATGGACGAAAAGCAGCGTGACAGTGTACTACCAAAGGAGAGACATTAGTTGTTAAAAAATGCAGTGCAATCAGCCTTTACTATGAAGACGGCACCTGATTGATTGATTTATACTTCAATTAATTCTGTCCCAAGTCTGTTGTTCTCCACCCCTTCCCCCCCCCTAGTTTTAGTTTATAGCTGCCTTATCTTGACAAGAGTATCCATAGCCCTTAACCGACTGTATAATCTTATATTTGATTCGTTGATTCGTTCCCTTAGTTCCATAAGGCTAAACAATATACCTTTGTATTTCATAGCTTTTGTTTCCATGAAATACGACCTAATCTTCTGTATATCTACATCTCCAAAGAATTGATACGTTTTCCCAGTTGTTTGTTCACTGTCCATGTCTCTGTGCCATACAGTAAGGTTGAGAATACATAACATTTGACTTTAATAACCCATCTTAATGAAAGTAGCGTGAAAACCATAAGTTCGACTTACGACCAGTTCGACTTACAATAAGTTAGTCGAAACAGAACTCGGTCATAAGTCGAGGACATCCTGCACACTGTACACTATTTAGGACCAAGGGTGACCGTACCTGAAAGTTCAGGCACCTTGCTCCCGCCCCCATCCCCAAATATTCAGGGACTCCCTCGAAAATAATAAACCATGTTTAGATATTCTCTTTCAAGTACTTGTTTATGCAGTTAGTTAGGTTTTTTTTTTTTTTTTTTTAATATTTCATTGTATATAGCAAAGAAATTCATAATATGTTTAAAATCACCATTTATGATGGGCATCATGAGAGTTAATATGCTGAAATGGCTGTGGCATATTAGGAATTTCAGATGACAGAGATGTGAAAACTGTATACACAAGAGAGATGAATGGTCGTAGACCACGAGGCAGACCAAGAGGGCGATGGAGAGATAATGCCCAGAGAGACCTGCAAACACTTGGTGTTGCCAACTGGAAAGCAAAGGCCAACCAAAGAGATGAGTGGAGGTGGGTGATATCTGCAGCAATGAACCTCAAGGGCTAGGAACACCGGAGAGGAAGAAGAAGATATAGAGGCCATATAACATATAATAATAATTACACATTGCTTAATTCTTTTGAAGTTCCCCCCCCCCCCCACCCCCGCCTTTCCCCGCATGTGTTGCTTTTTAATGTTGGTGCAGATTCTATTGTATACTTTTCCCCTGGAATATAAAAATAGGTAGTAATCACGGAATTCACCCCACCTCGCTCACGGGCGAGATCTCATTACCGTTCCCACAGGTTGTCCTATGTTCTAGGAGTGTCAGGTACTGATTGTTTAGAAGGTTTTAAACACATCCACCACCGTCGACAGCCACCGCCAGCAAGCGTAAAAATACAAAAACATCAGTGATTTGATACACTCGAACCGTCGCGCCTTCGGTTCTTTACCATGCAGTACTTCTTCCTTGTACACAGAATAACAAGACATTCCCAAAAAAAAAAACAAAAAAAAAAAAACAACAACAACAACACTTGTTAACACAAAGACAGTAGCGAAAACAAAGCTCGCTGTTGCGTCTGAGAGACAGTGTGTCGACTTCGTCAAACAAACGCCAGTCACTTTTCGTCAGGCTGTGTATAGACAGCGACATGACAGAACCAATGCACATGTGCCTACTGACTACTGTCTGGTTTCTAAAACCTAGGTCTTCCTGGGCCCCTAGCCCCGGGGCGTCTAGAGCTTTGAATCTATACACTGAGAAAATTCTTTTCGAGATTATCAAATTGAAATTCAAAGACTTTAGGCACCCTAACCTCTCGCCTCAAGAACGTCAGGCACTCACAAGACTGAAACGTCGTTATGATATTGGTATTAAACCTGCGGATAAGGGAGGGCGGTAGTAGTCTGGAGAAAATATTTATGTGTGCAGGAGAGGGACAGGCAACTCAGTGACACACCCATCTATGAACTCCCATACACAGGATGCTACAGTAAATAACAACAGAATAGTAATACGTACCATCACAACCTTCATCCAGGAAGATCTTATGCCTGTCCGGGCCAGCTCTCTATTTGTCGGGGACAGTTGTCTGGGAGAAGCCTGACCTTCACATGTTTCCCAAGATACATAAACCTGACCACCCAAGCAGATCGACCGTGTTCACCTGCGCTTGTCCCACAGAACTCATATCCGGGTTCCTCGACCGTATTTTGCAACCTCTGGTCTTTGGTCTCCCCTTTTACATCAAAGATACTAACAATGCTATCTCTGTTTTTCAGTTTGTCAGGTTCACCTCTTCTTCCAGTTGCCACATCTTCACCTTAGACGTTACCTCTCTCTACACCACATTCGGATGATCTCCAGGCTTGGCGGTCCTTCCTAGATCAGAGAGTCAATCCTGCCATAGCCTTTGATACGTCTGACTGAGTTAGTACTCACTCTAAACACTATTTTAATGGTCACTTTACTTTACTTTACTTTTTCCTTCCACGTATGCCGCTAAGCGTTGTGGGGAGATGCAAGTTCCTGTCATAAGCAAGGCGGGCAGCATCTGATGTTCTGAGGCCATGCTTTTGGCAGGTTTCGGAGACCCCGTCAATCCACCGTTTCCTTGGTCTTCCTCTTGCCTTATATCCTGAGCTTCTTTGGTTGAAAATTTGTGATGTTATTTGATCAT